AAAATTAGATTGAAATCTGGCTATGATAAAAATGAAAAACAAGTGTTCGAATAGATTATCTGCAAATTAAGGTAATTGGATTAAGCTTATTTTCAAATATTTTATTTGCACCAAATATAACTGTTTCTTAGTTGCAATATCCAGAAAATACTTAGTTGGTGACTGTAGAAGTTATTTTCTCCCTCCTTCCAGCATGCCTTTGTGGTGTAACGGTAGCAAGCTTGGGGCGTATTCGAGAGGTCTAGTTCGAGTCCCGACGAAGGCATCAAAACACCAATGACTCATCAAATGACAAACACCAATGACTCATCAAATGACAAACACCAATGACTCATCAAAACACCAATTGAAACTTAAACATAGGCAAAATAAAACAATTTTTCAGATGAATAGTTTTCAAATTATGGATTTAAATAATTTTTCAATGCATTATTTTTTACCATAAAAATACGGTACTTCTATTTATGGCCAAAAATTACGATACAGCTAGTAAGTAAAATAGAAAAATAAGTAAATAGTAAAAACAAAATGTTGTCTTTTAAAGTAAAATTTACTTTAAAAATTTCTTGAACTGTAAATAAGGTCTTTAAGAATTAAATTTAAGAAAGAGATATTTATGATGTTCATTCAAAATATATGTTCTGCTCATGTTTCAATTATTTCCTTGCATAGATTCCTATTTTTAAAAAGAAGAATTCCATCTTCTTGGAGTTTTGAGTAGCTACGAATTTTTTTCCCGCTTTATACTGTGTATCTCATTTTCTTCCCATCCGTCAATTTCTATCCAAGTGGCGTTATTTCTATGACAGTGTAACAATGGAGTGGCAGATACGACGGATATTACGAGATGATGAATGATGGCTTACTTCTTATTCATCATTGTTGAGTAGCTCTAAAAAATGATGACGAATTACTTAAATTCCCCTTGGATCGAAAATAATAATGCTTGAGGTCGTATAAGATGTAGATGTACGTGAAGGAATACTTTTTTGTACATCGATTTAATATTTAATTATTACGTATCTAAAATTTAAAAAAAATCAAACATTCCAAAATTTTCATTTAATTAGTTGAGAAAAATTGCCGAATACTTAGAAGAAGCTGGTAGAAAAATATTGCTCAAAATATGATTATCTTAATGAGGAAAATTAATCATCTATTAAAAATTATTACTTTAGTGTACTGCTCTTTAAACTTTGTTTACATGAGGAACCCATAAATTATAATTTCTTTTTGGTGAAATATTTATGGTACTCTCCTTGCTTTGTGTTTGCGTTAAGATGGTTGGATTAATATGACTGATATGGAATCTAAATACTAAGTGCCACTTACTTCCTCTCCCGAATTATCGAAATGGAAGGTATAATTGCATGCAGGCAGAGATATAATGGCATTTAACATAAAAAAAAATTAATGAGTCTCTTCTTAAGCATTATAATAAAAAATATAAGGGTAACAGTGTATTTAACGAAACAAAAATTCACATTTCAAAAATAACCCTACGAGTAACCACAATTTACCACTTTTTTATCAAGTTAGCCATAAAATCTCAAGGTTACCGATTTCAATTGGAACTTTTTCTCTCGTCGTTATTTACTCGAACGCGAATAATCAACGGCTACAGCTTCCAGTGGTTCCATTACGAGTATTATGATCAGCCACGTTTATGACCCGATTTCGGCCGCCGTGGACTCCAACAGACATCCAAATATAGACAAAAGCAAGCGATCGACCAACTGATCGACTACCTGTTCCACTTAACCGTTTATTCCTTACACTCTTCTTAAAATCTGCATAACCATCTGGAGGGAAGGGCTTGTGACAGTTATCGAAGTCATAGAACAGTACACAAATTGTCACACGTTTACTATTAGTAGGAAAGTAAGGATTAAAAGCATTGAACATATAACAATATTGCTAACAGTTTATAAGGAAGATGAAAAGAAAATAAATAATATAATTTATAAGATATTTTCTGCCGCTTTCCAGTACGCTTTCATTGTCTAACGGTAGCACATTTGGCGCGTATTCGAGAGTTCCATGTTCGAGTCCTGGAAAGGGCATTGCTCATTTTTCATCTCTCCTGCTTCAAAATAACCCAATGACTCTGCAGTGGCGCTCGAACTAAACATGGTGGTGAACGATAATTCATCGCCCCCAGGATTTGGCGATAGGGTCCCCTCGTCGCTAGTCGCCCTTTAGAAAGGAGAGTATATAAGGTACTTTTTCCTCCTTCCATCGTGGTGCAACGGTAGCACAATCGGTGCTTATTTAGGAGGTCCAGGTTTGAGTCCGAGTAGGGCATTGATCATTTTTCAAGTCTCCTGCTTTAAAACCTTATAACTCTACGAGTTCAATAACATTTACTTTGTTATTTAAATAATAATCAAAATAAAAAAAATATTAATTATTTTAGGTGTGCAATTTTATTATCCACCTGATGTTAAAAATTCATTCGATTTCGGTTCATAACAAGTGCAATTCCTAAAGCAATTGCATGATAATCGGTCGAGTACAGTTTGAAGATCATTGCCAAAAAATTGATTAAACCTATAAGAACAAATTTCATGACATGAAAAAGTGCTCATATATTTCGAAAACATTTTGTGAATGGTTATGTAATTTTATAACCAAGCTTAATATTCTACTATTTGCGAAGATTTAAAAGCCAGGAAGAAAACCCGAACAGGCAAGCAATCGAGCATGTAAATAACAAATAACAATAACCCCAAATTTTTAAGAAAACAGCTCTTAAACGATTGTTAAAATAAAAACAAACTTCAGTACGTAATTCCTTTTAAAAATGTATTTGTATATTTTCTAAAGTTTTGCTTAACTGCTGTCTGATACCTAAAATCAGAGATCCAATAATTGTAATTTTCAGGTCATGCTTTCGTGTTCTGCCAGGCAAATGAATTCTTAATTCTGAACATCATGATGTTATGCCAAAGAACCTTGATAGCATGTAGTAGTGAATATTAGAGACGAATTCATTCTTTCATCACACTGCTAACGCAGATAGTATCATGGATATTTTGCATGATTCATAATTATTTTATCATTCTCGTTAGTAACGCCTACCATTCATAACTGTGAACAATTGAACCTGGACTTTGACAGACTCTCATGTGGGAAATATTCTATTCAATGGTTGCATCAACTGTGTCTTCGAAATATTTTTTTATCCTTTCGGCACGAATTGATCAATTATTAACACTTTACATAGATTATCTTACACTTTACATCATCAATACGCTTATTTTAATTGTCTGTGAATATGAAAAAAGTTTTTTTTGTGTGTGAAAAAGCACTGAATGCAGATTGATGAACATGAATGAAGTATTTAATGAAGTATTAATGAAGAACATGAGTGAAGTGTTAATCTGCATTTTTAATTGTTATTGTAAACGAAGTTTACTAAAAATTACTTCTAGTACGACATTCAGATGAACACTTAAAGCAGTTCGCATAATATTCGAGTTGTGTTCCTATTATCTATCATTCCTGCATTGCTAAAATTCATATTTTATTTCTTAAACAATAGTCAAATAACAAAATAAACTTGATCTTTGTTGAAACTCCAAAAACTGCGCACAAAAAAAAAAAAAAAAAAAAAAAAAAAAAAAAGGAATAACAAAACCATAACTTCATATTGCAAAATTTTAGGTCAATTTCACCAATGTTGCTGACTCGGCATATCATCTGCTTTGACCTCGCGTAGTGATACAGGCAGTTCTAATGAGCAGTATATCTATCGACTCTTTGGCATCAGTAGAAGCGAAAATCTGTTTCACGCAAACATCTTAAATGTCCGTATACATACATACATATGTCCGTAGAATCTCCTTTCCCATGCCAAGTAGAATGCTATAGGGCTAACAATAACATACTTGTTAATAACATAAATGAAGCGACAACTTTTCTATTGTGATCATCATACGCTTTCCCCACTGCACTCAGTTTCTTCTTAGGACAGGATTGCAGTTTCTGGCATCATTGATGCTAAACAAAGGAAAAGAGACTTTTGGGTGACTTCGATGTAAAAGAGTTAAAGGCAAAAGCACAGGGCATGTGGATGGTGAAGACGCATTTGTTGAAAACATTCAAAGAACCAGATATTTCTTTTTAAAACCCATAAAATATTCAAAACACGCTCTCTCTGAATTAAAATTGTATTCCACAAATCTGTATTTTCCAAGAAATCATATTTTTAATGCTGCAGAGAAAGTAATCAAGAGTATTTTGAAACAAAAATTTTATGTTAAAGATCTTTAACTTTTCTTCTTTTCTACAAAAAAAAAAAAAAAAAAAGTTAACGCTTACGGTTGAAAGTAAAATTTTCACGATAGTCTTTTTCATTTTATATATCAGTCACTACTCTGCGTTTGCAAAAATAAAGTTATTTGAATACGAGTCAAATACTGAGGAAAAGCTTTTGCTTGCGCTTAGCACCGTTGACATGATTGCCGGAACGTAATTTAAAATTTCTACTTCTTTGTGAAATAAGTTATTCGTTGGACATTCATTGCTGTCATCTCAGATTTCCCGTTGGGACGTCGTATGACGAACGTTAAACGTTAAGTGCTCAAGCAGCAATATTTCATTGAAAGGGACAACGTTACCGCGTTAATATCGGCAATACTTTGATAGATAAACTGTGCTATGTTATTTTTAGTGGTCAAATAATTTACAAATGCGAAATTTCGTAAATATTAAGATTGAACAAATTTGGGAATAGTTTGAATTTCAAGAAGATTTAATGGAAGGAGCGAGAATGAAGTTGGAATTCCATAAATGTTTTGATTTTGCAAACTGGAAACATTGCCGTTTCGATGATCTTCCTTTTAGTATATTATTGTAACATACATTATATTTAACGTGTTGAATGCAAGTAAATGAATGAGTTTAACGTATTGTATATTAAGATTACTTTTAACCTTGATATACCATTAATGTAACATTAAGTTATTTAAAAATTCGCTTATGTACAAGAATATTTTATGAAAGATTGTAAAATAACAGTTCTGTTTCAGTTCGATGATGACAGATTAGAAGCAGCACTCAGTCTTCAAGATGCTGTTCAGTTGGAATTGGACGAAACAGGACGTAAGTTGAGCATCTAACCCTTATTTTCAATTTTAATATTATTTCTGCCTTTTTGCCCATACAGATCTTTTCAGGCAGCAGTGTTTTAAGATTATAGAACTTCATTATTGTTTTTTTTAAGGTGAAACGCAATCTACGGAAAATTCATTTATGCTGAATTAATTCCGGTGTATTAATTTTCTTCCTAAAACTGAAATTTATTTTCCAAAATCGATTATCTTATCCTTCTTATTTATAATGAAGTTCTGGCAGTGACTGATTCAATACGAAATTGCATCTGAAAAAAAAGATTGAATATAAAATTGCATACGTATTTTAAGCATATACTTATATTTTTAAAACTTTAGTTCTTTTAAAATAAATATACAGGAAAAAAATTTAATCGATTATGCAGTTAAAAATAAATTATACTTTCAACGGCTTCGACGTGATGGTAAATTTGTTTTTGAATCATATAAAATAAAGTACGACGTAACATAATCAATCTCGTATAAAGGTTTTCATAAAGTACAATAAAATCGTACGTTTGTGCTATTATTTATGTATTTATCACCAAATACTCAATCAGTAAAAAGCTGATTTTAACCAAACCGAACATCTTGGGTTTTCGGAACTACTGAAACTATAGTGTTTTAATTGATGCTGTACTGTTTTGATACTATACCGTTTATAATTTAGTTAAACAATGTTTCACAGTGCCATGTTTTTGAAAAGCAAGTAAATAAAATACAAAGAATAATTTTAGGAAGTCTTTAATTTTGCTTTTTCAAAAAAAGCATATTCGGAAATCTTTTTGAGTGTCTATAGATATTATACTGTGTTGAGAAAAATAATTACACTGCTAGAACAGAGGCCATTATCAGTAATAGTCTGAGGTCAACTAGACAGAGATGCATGATGATTGGTCCAATTTAGGAATTACTTTTTAGTGCTCTTGGATATTGCATTATTATTTGAACATTTTGTATTATTTACAAAAATAACTTAATTTTTAAATGCTAATTACCTGCGTAATTTAATGCATTTTCATTTATTTTCATTGATAGAGGAAGTGTTTTAATTAATATATTTTTTTGTGCCCATTGGATCTGATGGCATCAGAAACTGTCGAATTTGAGAACTGTTCTAAAATCGTTAAACTTTACACCTAGTGGCAGTAGTGAGCCTCAGCTGAGTGTAAAAGCAATGAAACACACACACACAAACAAAATATTAACTGAATTTTCTTCTTCCCATGACTTGTGATCGCATATTAAAATAATACAAGCACAAATGTAAGTCTTTTCGATTTTCAGTTACTGGTTGGAATGTGCAACAATCTAACTGGCTATAATACCTATAGGCCTCTACTCCAGGCTATAACACTTTTGTCTGACAACCTATCTCTAAATTAAAATCACACTTATCAATCACATATCATACCATTCACGTGTTGATTTAACGCATTTATAAGATTTATTCCCGTATTTATTTAATTTCATCATATTTTTCTCATTTACGGTACTGAAAGAAGATAAGAGAGTATTGTTTGAAAAATATCCGTATTTGTCTCAAATATTATTTCTGAAGTATCTTTGAAGTAATCAATTAAACATACTGCTATCTTGTATTGCTTAGACAGCCGCTAGTCTTGCCCTTAATTTTTATTCCATATCATGCCAATGTCTGAGGGAAGACATATTTCGCTTTAGCTAGAAAATTTAAGTAATATTTTACGAGTAAGCAGATTTTTTATTGCGTTTTCAATGAAATTTGAGAGAATTCTGTGTTTTATTACTGGCGTGAGTTTCTATACGAAACAAACACATTCAGAAATTATAATCAAAATATTCTATACAGGTACATTTTGCTACATAACTATATGATTTTCGAGCCGCTTCCATAAAGAAGCAGACCGCGATGCATTTTGGCCAAAGCTATTCGTTTTGCAACATTTCTGGTATACGCAGTACGATGTGATTATATTCCAGGCTGATACTGTACAAAGGATACATGCTAATTTAATTATATTCAAGTAATTCACTATGGTCTTACGTTGAGGAATTATTTTATATTTTTAATACATTAGAATTTATTTAATAGCTAGCTAAATATTAACTATTTTTTGTGTCATACATTCGCTTCGTTATGATATTGTTTGATCTCTCTGCAAATTCAGCTTCGAACTTATTTTTCGTGCTCTTAATGAAATCCTTTGTTAACTTTCGAAGATCTTATTTTAGATAGTAATTCTTGAGGAACTTATAACTGTCATCATCAGTAGGGTTACAACACGATGCCCAATTAATTTTGACATCGGAATTTCACGTAATAGGATTGTTTGCGAAGTCAAACTGCAGAAATCACGCAAGGAAAGAAAATAACTAACTAAATCATCCACAGTCACTTATTTTTGGAAGAATAATAATATTTTTTTATTTCAATATACCTGAAATTATCTAAAACGTATACTTCTTAAATTTTGAATTATGTTTTCTAAGCCTTCCATATTCATAAAAATTTATATTTAGTTAGAATCTTAATTTTGATTAAATTTTCCTCTAGGCCTTTAAAACTGTAGCCTTATAGTTAAATTCCCTCTTTTTCCACGGATGGCCATACATCCTTCAGTGTATTTTGATTATTTGTCCCGGTTTTGGCCCACGTCCACATACTAAACTTTTGCTACTCGAAGTCTGGATTTGCAAAGCATTCAAACGCTTTGCCTGTGGAAAAGAATGCCTTCGTGGAGAATATTTTATGGGAAGCGGCTTCATATTCACATAATATATCGCGGAATGCCCCAAGAAGTCCACCAGTTGCGAGAATCTGAATCGTGGTCGAAGTACTAGTGTTTAGGGATTTTATCGCTCAATCACTCAGGTTCTTGAAGAAGTGTAAATTCATCACCTGATTCTCTAGAAATCTCTGGAGCTTCATGCAAAACAGCACGTAAAGCTGATTTTTGCTTATTTTGATATTTATCTCAGGCACGAGTTCCTTCTCAGTATATATATATGTGATATAAATTCCAGAAGACGTTTGTAGATAGAATTATGTAAGCTATTATTTCCACTAAAATATATAATAAATTATTTTCTTCCGTTTAGTGCATTATTTATGATATGCATTTTAATGGCTTATTGTATTGTACATTTCCTTGTATGAAGTAAAGGAAGTATTGTAATCGCGAAATATTTCGGGTATGATATTTCAATGAAAATATCAATTTTGTCCACTTTCGAATCCATTTGAATGATGCTTTTGCGTGACATCTGTACACACGTCAGAATAAAGGACTCTTTTTTTCCAAATCGGGTTATAAAATGGAATAAAAATGGATTCAAGAGAGATTTTTTCATGATGTATTTATCTCGCATAACTCAAAAAACGAGTAGCCGTAGAACATTGAAATTTTATAGATGGGACTGCAATAACACGCAGTTGTGGAGCTCCCTTTTTGGCTGCAATCGGCCGCACCAAACGTATATATATCTATATGTAATAATATGACTTGGTGAAAGAAATTTGCAAAGGATTGACGATGGTTCTCTGTATTAAAACTTGAAGAGGCTTAGTTAGAAAGATGACATTCCTAGACAGATATGTAACAGAAACAAGCTTAGAAATAATAAACAGCAGGAATTTTGATGACACAGAAATGGTGATCCATAATGAATAGAAGACTGGCAGCCGAGGCACATTAAATCTTCATTTTATTTTCATTAAACATTTTACACCCACAAACAACTTGGCAAATTATTTGCGCCTATTTCAAGATGTTTAAATTTTTGATAACTTCGCAGCAAGAAGGAAGCAGCAGACAGCAGTCTAGCTAGGCCGAAGCAAGTATATGTGTTATGTTCAGGGTGAAATCTTAAATCAGACTGAGTTAGTTTTGGTTCTCAATGCATTTTGATTGGATAATTAGTACTGCTGTAAAATGATTATTGGCTGTTTAATTTTGGTTCCATTTACATCATCCGAATTATGTAAAAGTCATGTGCCATGGATTAATCTCGAAATGACGCAGTGCAAATAGAATAGAGATTACTATTTTTTGACTACAGAGGGAAAATTAATATACGTTGCTAATTTAAATTATAATTTATCTTATGCATATATTTTTTTAATTTTTTGTTACACACACATATATATCAATACCCACTCTTTTACGGCTCAATTTTTGTTTTCTGTTGTTGGTAAACTGCGCATTTTTTGCTTTAAAAGTGATTAAATTATGTTTTTCTTATATTCCAGTTAAGTGTTTTATGTCTTTATGTAATATGCATGTAATAATTTCAGAATTATCCACAATTTAAAAGTTAGCCTAACAAGGCTGCCATTTATTTACATGTAAAACTATTAGTAGAATAGTGAGTTAAATCAATTTATGCTCCAAATTTAGTGTCTTTTTTCCCAGTTGCATCAAAAATAAACTTCCAGTTATGTTTTTCTATATCTTTCAATTTTTAATGAAAATATTTTCAATCTTTGTATATTTTTGCTTTGCCGCGAAGTGAGAACTGAATTAATTGAATGAGAAATATATCTCTAATGAAATTCTAACACAAGATTATGAAATGCAGAAAAAATTTGTATAATTTAATGGGCCGTACAAGGAAGTCATGTGGTGTCCAAGTTAGATATTTTATAATTGTACTTTATTGCTATATTTTGATCTCAATTATACGCTGTCAATGATGAATTTGTAGTCATTATTAAATCAAAAGATTAAGCATGAAAGAAAATCTGAGCATCATTCACAGAATGAAGAAATTTATTTGAATATTCACCTAAAAGGAATTTTTCAGAGAGAAACGCTTTTTTTCTCCCCTCTGCTTCAGACTGCAACACATTTTTGAAAATATGTAGAAAATTGCTCGATTAATATATTTTATTTTTCTGTTTTTAAAAGAGGGCGAAACGTTTGTTTTACAATCAATGAAAATTTCAAAATTTTATATCTGTCAGTGTTTTAGACCAAGACAAGAGAAATACGTAAAACATAAAATTAGGAG